CCGGAACAGATAGCATCAGAATCTCCAGTGGCTGGGCATCTTTCCTTTTCCTGCCATAGGCCGTGACGAGAGCTTCTTGCTTGCGTGCTTGCTCCGGCTATCATATTGCCTGCCTATGAAGCTCTCTGGCCAATGGAGGAGCTACTTCTTCTTCCCTAGCTTTTCTCGTCTCTGATTCGTCCATTGACCTTCTCGCGTCTTGTGTGAGTGCTACTACAAGCAAGCGATGGACATGAACGAGAGCGGCGAGAAAGGGATGGAGGGCAACGCGTCCTCCGGCGCCGCCGGCATCCCGGTGGAGTGGCAGACCCAATTCAGCGCTGCCGCCTTCTCGTGCGCGCCGCCGCCGCAGCAGCAGCAGCAGGTTCCCATGATGGACTCCGCCTTCGCGTCCGCCGGCCTGTGGGCGTCCACCTCCCAGGCCATGGCGCTCTCCGACGTCGGCGCCATGTCGGCCGCGCGGGGCGGTGGCGGCTTCTTGGCACCGGTCCCCGGTTTCCTCCCGCAGGGCCTCGGCCATTTCCCCGTGGACTCCGGCTTCATCGAGCGCGCCGCGCGGGCGTCCTGCTTCGGCGGCGGCGGGGTGATGGGCGCTACCGCTGGCTTCCGTGCAACTGATCATCAGCCCATGAACAACGCGTTCAGTGGCTCCTCGGAGGCGCTGTTGGATCACCAGAGGAAGGACGGCAACGAGAAGGGCGAGCCGGAGCTCGGCCGGAACGGCCACGACGGGGTGCTGAGCTCGGAGGCTGCTGGTGGGGACTGCTCGTCCAAGGGGACGTCGGATTCCAAGAAGAGGAGAAGGCCTAACGAGGTGAGCGCTCTTCTTGCTCGCTGCTTGTGTCTGCAACTTTTCCACTGTCGTTTCAAAAACCTGTCGAGGATCGATGTAGCTAAGTTAAAATGGATGGAATACATCTGTGCGTGTTCTGTATAATGAAAGGTGATGGGAGGCGATCAGGTTCAGTCGTCCAACCTGCCCGCCAACTCAGCAAACGAGAGCGTGCACAGCAAGGACAAAGGCGAGGAGAGCAGCCCGGCAACAACTACCGGACCCGGCAAGTCGAAAGGGAAGGGGGCGAAAGAGACCTCCGAGTCCCAGAAGGAAGACTACATTCATGTCCGAGCTCGGCGCGGACAGGCAACCAACAGCCACAGCCTTGCAGAAAGGGTACGGATTTGATCAAAGGGTGACACCCCAATGTTTACCGTTTGCTGTGGAACCTTGGATCGTTCTGAAATTGACATGAATGGTCCTGAAAACTCTGGTTGTTGCATCTTTTCTGCAGTTGAGGAGGGAGAAGATTAGCGAGAGGATGAAGCTTCTGCAGGACCTTGTTCCTGGCTGCAGCAAAGTAGGTCTATCTAGCACAAAAGAAGAAGAAAAAAAAGGAACTTGTGTGTTTTTATGTTGATTTTCATTACAAATGAACATCTTTGTCCTTGAAATTCAGGTTACTGGGAAGGCCGTAATGCTTGACGAGATTATCAACTATGTTCAGTCCCTGCAAAGACAAGTTGAGGTAATAACTAACATCCCCCCAATACACTGTTCGTCAAAATATGCACAACTTTGTCTGAATCAAGGCTTATCTACGAACCAAGTTGTCATTTGGAAGAGAGAAAGTAGAATCAATAGATACTGAGACCTGAATATGAATACAATTTTCTACAACCCTCGTTACATACTGATGGCAAGCATCAAAATACTGAATTAATCTTGCAGTTCTTATCGATGAAGCTGGCAACAGTAAACCCAAGGCTTGACCTCAATATAGAAGGGCTTCTATCAAAAGATGTATGAGGCTTCTTGCAATCTCATTCTTTTTTGCTCATTATTTGTACGTATAAGAATCTAACAAACAAAACCACTCTTATCATCAGCTTCTTCGCTTCCCTGGTGTTCCTTCGTCTTCCCTCGGATTTTCCCCAGAAATGATGCACCCACAATTACAGCTATCACAACCAGGCCTGATTCAGGGGGGCGCTGCTGGCATGGCCAATCCGGACGTATTCAGGAGAATCATGCAGGCACAATTGAGTGCAAAAGACGGGTCCCAGGTTAGCATCTATTCACAGTATATTTGAACAGATCCTAGTACAATATTGTTTTTGAAGTATCAACACAGCACTTCAGTCTTTAGGTAGCAGTTGACATAGCTTAAGCTATCCTGTAGCAACATAAATTTTTCTCAAACATAGACTTCAAGTTTGATTGTGATACCAAGATCTTCATAGCCAACTAAGTTGTGTTCAGGAACAAATTTGCCCCAAACCTGCATACAGTAAATATTTTCTAACGGCCAATCCACATATACTTCAAGTTAGGCTTCTCCAACTCCTATTCTAAGTTGTGTGTTGAGGAACAAATTTGCTCGAGACACCAAGGTCTTCATACAGACACTGATCGCAATTGCATCAAATTTACAATACTGATGTAAGCTTTGGATTTGTCGAGCAGATGTCCCACGCATTGAATGGAGGGTCATTCAGTGACGTTGCGCAGATGGCGTACCCGTCCCTGGGGTCCCAGGACTTGAGCATCAGGCCGTCGCAGGACGGGTTTCAAATGTGACTGAACATGCCAGTTGCACACAGAAAGAGCAAAGGCTTCCATCTGAATATCTGATCGGCGAACATGCAGGTGCGCAGGGCCGCATAACTGATGCTGCTACTGCTGGGAGCAGCAGGACTGCTGCAGTTCTTGCTCATCCAAGCCTTTAACCGCGTCGTCACGGCTGTGCTGCATTGGCCGGGTTTTTATTGTGTTCAGAAGGAACTGAGAAAAAGCTCGTGGAGCCCCCAGTCCCCCACCCCACGGAATCGTTGGACGGATGGATGAGAGCCTGGATGGCTGGAAATCATGGCTGGCGCGCAGTGCAGTAACAGTGGGCTGTGTGTTGGTAGCGAGCAAATGAGCTGCTGCTGCTGCTGCTGCTGCAGGATGCATGTAACGCGAGCCTTGTTTTGTTAGTAGTTTCAGCGCTTTTGTTTGCATAATAGTTAAGGGTGCAAGAAACACTCATAAAATTGGGGGCGGTCCGGGCGATGTTTATGTTGAAACACATACATTTGGCAAATCCTCCTTGTGCCACAAATCAAAGAAGGGTGATGCTACATCGATCATGCATGTTCATGGACTCAGTCTGTTCCCCACTTGCACTCGGAGCAAGCTTTTGTTCGATCCATGTGTCGTGTATGTATGCGTAGAGACCTACTCTATCTACTACAGCGTTTCGCGCTTTTTTGTGGCGAGGAGATCATTCATCAGTCATCATAAACTCTCTGTGATGGCAAATGGTAGGTGCATGATCGATGGACTGACTATAGGGAGAAGGTGTGCCCGTGTCACGTCTAGGGACAAAAGGGTCTTCCTTCTCCGGCCTCGATAGAGATGAGCATGAGCTCGTTCCCTAAGGGCTAAGGACACTTGGGGCAGAATCATTTGGCCCCAACCCAACTTGTGACTAGTCGTGGCCTGAAAACAAACTTGGTGATGGCCATGGCCTGAAAACAAACCTGTGATGACCAATCGTCGTGCACAGTGAAACTTCTGCGCACTCTACAGCTGCCACCCAAAGCGGACAAGACAACGTACCGGCGCAGGCAATGCTCCGTAGAACAAACAAGCATTTTGGTATATTCCGCCGGTGTCGCCACGGTTCAAGGACAAGGCTAGGCGCTGCTGCTTCGTACCTGCCCGGCCGGACCCGGACCCCTGCCGTGCGCCTGCGCACGAGGCCGTACGCTGCGGCGATTCCGCCCGCGTGCGGCCAGGTCGCTCGTGGCCTCGTGGGTGGGAGCTCGGGCGACCGCGACGCCGGATCGGACAAGCGCCTGAGCGTGTGCTCGTCGGTCGTCGCGCACTCCGATGGAAGCCTGCTGCCGGTGGGGATTCCGGGATTCGCCACGTTCCGCTATGCCTGTGCTTGTGCGGCTGTGCCTGTGCGCACGTTCGTCCCCGCCGCGCATCCTTATGTGTGGACTCTGGGCCGTGCAGGATCCCATGCCCCACTCCCCGGAGCACACAACGGGCCTCCATCGGCCCATTATCTATGAGATGGGTCTCCGCGTTAGGCCCGCTATGATTGGCAACTGCTTGAGCACAAGGTTCCGGCAGCTCAACGATGTCCACACGGATGGATGGACTACATGGTAGTAGTTGATGATGCATGTCATTCACAACGGGAACTGGAAACGCTTTTACAAATTACAATGCTGTCTATCTATATTATCAGCCTGTTCGTTTGGCTGTGGCCTGTCGTAAACGATCGTAAATTTCCAGCCGGAACAGTATTTTTCTCTCACACAAACCAGCCAGCAGTAATTCTTTACGAACCAGCAACAATACGAACCAGTTAACCGAACAGGCTGATTGTTCACGCTCTGTAAATGACATGTATCATCAACAACATTCTGTTTAAAAACACAGTCGTGCAATTGGAATACCAAAGTACAAAAGCACAACAGGTTCATGAAAAGTTCTGTTGCCGCTGTGCATGACAACTGACGAACTGCGGCCTTATATTAAGCGGGCCTTACATTAGGTCACCTTGATCTTTTATTCAAAATCAGATTTCTAACTTAAACCAAGTCTATTGAGAAATGCAAATTACAACATTGGACTAGTTTCATGCAATCCACCATACAATATCACTTATTTGGTACGTCAATATATTTCTATAAATTTGATAAAAAATAAAGAAATTTGAATTAGGATAAAACCAAAGTATAACTTATAATTAGGACCGAAAGAAGTGACGACGTATCAAAAGAAAAAGCATGCACCGTGTAAAAGTTAGCAAAGACCGGAGCTAGAATGCACGAAAACACATAGGGCGTTTTTCATTGAATGGCTATAGCCTACAAAATTTATCAGCACAACCTGAACCAGATCTACACTGAACACCAATGTTCTTATCAACACTGTATTCCTCTATCCTGGCTCTGGTTCGTACTTTTGTTATATCCAGTGCTCATACACCTCCATACAGAACTATCTAATCCTTCCACGGGTCGCTCTCTGTCCTCACTTCAGAGGGCTCGACAACCTCCGTCGTGGCACCTTCAGAAGAGTCTGCGTCAACGCTGGCGGTGACTTCAGCCTCCTCTGTCTCCAACCTTCCACATCTCCCGCCGAGGGCCATGGTCATCATCTCGTAGATCTTGCCTCCCAGCTCCGCTGGACTGTCAGGCTGGATAACACAAGTGAACAATCACGCTGCAGTCATATATTTATCAGGACAGTCATGGGCCAACAAGCATATAGGTTCGTTGCACTTACAGTATACCCGCTGGAGATAAGCGCGGCCTCATATAACAACTCAACTGCCCTCTTGGCTTCAGTACTTTCAGGCTCGTTTTTGCAAGCAGCCTGTGACAGTTTGCCGTATACATGAGACAGGTAGAAGGAACATGATAAGAATTTTGCACAGCGAGATTGGAGCATGCCAAAAGAACATACTAGATACATGAACTTTTAACAGATAATACAGTGAGAAAAAATCTTACGCTTAGATCCTTGACGATAGGATGGTCAGGGTTGATTTCAAAAATCCGTCTGCCTCTCATGAACTCCAGGCTTGATGTGTCACCAAGTGTCTGTGCTTTCATGAGCCTATCAAATTTATAGAACCCATGTTAGGAAAATAAGGTGTTAGGTTAACAATCAGGTTTTATGGGATCTTAAATCTTAAATTACCTTTCCATGTTGGCTGACCAGCCAAATTTGCTAGATACGAGAACACATGGAGAAGAGCTGAGTCGCTTCGAGATCTGGACCTTGGCGACTTTATCACCAAGCTGCTGCTTTATCCAGTCACATAGAAGAGTATACTCCTGCTTTCTTTCTTTCTCCTTGTCCTCATCTTCATCACCTGTACCAGCCAGTATGTATAAGCATGCGACATGCACGTTGCCAAACCTAAAGAGTTATACTGAATCACATAACAACTCATATTTTATTTACCCAATTCCAAATCTTCTTTGCTAATATCAACGAACTTCTTCTCTTTGTATGTCTGTAAATTCTGAATGGCAACCTCATCAATTGGTTCAATGAGGTAAAGAACCTACAGAACAAAGAGGAGCACTATGAGCAAAACTACAGCATCAGAGGAAAACTAGCTTTATAATAATAACAAGTAGTCCACGTACTTCAATATCTTTCTGAACCAGCTTTTCCAAGAAAGGGGCAGTCTTCGCGCTCTGGAGACTATCAGTAGCGATATAATAGATCGCCTTCTGGTTTTCAGGCATGTTTTCTACATACTGATCCAGACTTATTAAATCTGTCTCATGTTTAGAAGAGTAGAACCGCAGCAATGGTGCAAGACGCTTGTGGTTTCCTGTGTCCTCAATGCAACCAAGCTTCATGAACTTGCCAAAGCTCTCCCAGAATTTGTTGTAGTCCTGCAGCATGAGTGACAACAAACGTCAACACAAATTGAATAAATCAAAAGTTGTGGATGGGAAAATGTTCATTCTTTACTCTGACCTCTTTGTCATCCTTCTCGGCGATCTCTTGAATCATGTCAAATGTCTTCCTAACAAGTCTCTTACGCATAATTCTGACCTATAACACAGGGAACACAACTATTATATTCAAACATCAACATACATTGTGCATGCTATATTTCCTCCATTTGTAAATATACAAGTTTAGGATACTAGTTTAGAAATGAACTAATTAGCTTGTCCTAAACACCATACATTAAAAAACAGAAGAGTATTAATCAAATACACTATATGAGAATTATTTATCGGAACTTACAATTCTACTCTCTTGAAGGATCTCACGAGAAACATTGAGAGGGAGATCATTTGAGTCAACACCACCTTTCACAAAGCTCAAGTATCTGGGAAAATGCAGAGAAAGATACATTCAGTAACTTAACCATGCCAACTGTAAGTGCGCTGAACTATTATAATGATGGGTGTGTGTGTGTGTGTGTGTGTGTGTGTGGGGGGGGGGGGGGGGACATACCAGCTCGCCATCAAAATCATCTGATATGAACACTCTTTTAACATACAATCGGATGTTTTTGGTCTTTGGATTCATTATCTCCTCATTACTAAGAGGCGCCATCCCTGGGACATAGAGAACACTCCGAAATTCCACCTCTCCCTGTTTAGAATATAGATCATGTTTAATGTGCATAAATAAAAGAAAAAGAAGTAGACTTCGAAACCCCCCACACCTCTGTGGTGAAGTGAGTGTAAGCAAGCGGATCCAAAAACTCATTAAATGTCTTCTTGTAGAATTCATTGTACTCAGTTTTCTCAACTTCCTTTGGATTCCTCATCTGCATGGAACAAATATAACCAACTTCAATATCTCCAATAGCAAATGGAAACCTAAGTCTGTAAATGTACTTATCTGACATACTTGACATGACTTAGCTAGGAATATTGAGATCATGGTAGCACATAAATTGGGCTCAGCTTACCCATATGGGCTTCGTTTCATTAGCCAACTCCCAGTCCCAGTACTTCTCGGTTATAGTTTTCTTCTTTTTCTGCTTTTCACCCTATAACAGAAGAGGATACATATAGGATGATACGGCAGTAACAGAGAACCAAACTCGAACTCAAATACAATTGCACTCAAACAGAACTAACCTCAGTAGCCTCTTCACCTTCTTTTGATTCTTCCTCCTCTTCAACCTGTTCAGCCAAGGTATATAGGTATAGATGCAAATACAATAATTGTAGCAGAATTACAATAAACCATATGATAATCCTACCTCAACTGTTCTTGATTTCTCCTGCCATGTATATATGGGGAATGAGACAAACTGCGAGTAGTTCTTAACTAAGCCTTGAATCCTCGCAGGGTCAGCAAACTCGTATTTGTCATCATCCTGAAACAACAAGAAGGCAATAAGAATTCTGCTAGAGGGTAGAGATCATACAGAAAGAGTTTAAAGTTTCTTACTCTCAAATAAAGAGTAATCTGTGTTCCACGTGTCAGCATTTTCTCAGGATCAGTTTCTTCCTTGATAATGTAAGAGCTGCTGTCAGCCTCTGCTTCCCACACATACTGCTTATCTGCCTTTGGACTTTTAGTAGACACCACAACCTGTATGATGACAAAGAATATGCAAAGTTACTAACAAGATGTAGAGACATTTTCAGGTTAATAGCAACTGTAAGAATCTCTGGAATAATAGGTAGATTTTGGAAAGTAATGCAGGTTCATCAGCTGAGCCATATCATAGAAGAGACATTCCATACCCTCTCTGCAACAAGGAAAGCCGAATAGAACCCCACACCAAATTGACCAATAAGTCCATTATCTGCACCAAGATCTTTGTTCTCCTGGACAAAACAGAGAAACCAAATTATTATCAACAAAGGAAACAATGGGTTCATTGTGGAACAGAAAAAAAAATGTAGCTAAATGGTTAAAAAGAAGTGCACCTTTAGAGCCTTCAAAAATTTTGAGGTGCCACTTTGTGCAATGGTTCCAAGACAGTCTTTGAGTTCATCTTTAGTCATTCCAATGCCAGTATCTCTGTGGCATTCACAAAATGGGTCTCAATAATGATTTTAATCACATCTCATAAATTAAAATGGTGACGACCATGGATTAATGAACAACTTACGTGATAGTGAGTGTCCCAGCCTCTGAGTCGGGTTTAATCCTTATCTCCAACTCGCCACCATCAGCCAGCACAGAGGGATCGGTTACGCTGAGGAATCTCAGCTTATCCAGTGCATCACTCGCGTTACTGGATGGCAACATAAATTGTGTCAGAGTTCAGATGATCAGGAGGTGTAGAAATGCAGTTTGAAAATAGCAGCAATTCATCCTTGGTCATAAGGACAAGTCAATTCAATTGTATACGCTGAGAAGATAACTGACCTTACAAGCTCACGGAGAAATACTTCCTTGTGGCTGTACAAGCTGTGCACAATTAAGTCCAGCAAGCGGCTAACCTGCAGGGCAAAGAGAAACGCTACATAAACACAGAAGCGCTCAATTGCAGATTCCATGAAGACAAACAGAATTCTGTTAATCGCAAAACACGATTTTGGCCACAGCAGAGCAGAGTGCAACGGCATACTGAATGCAGCACACAAGTGACAATTCATGTGACCCAATCCCAAATTTCACGAAACGCGCCAATTTCCCTAGCTCACCTCAGCCTGGTACTCGAACTTCTCGCCGGCCGTCTCCTCCTCGCCGGCAGGCTTCTCGGCGACGGCGGCGTCGCACCTCACCTCGACCATCCTCCGCCTCGCGGCCTCCCATCTCACCCCTACCGCGCACCTCGCGGCGGCACCCCTGCCCTGCGGCACGAGCGCGGCACGTGGCAGACCCCGGGACGACGGGCTCGGCCGCAGCGCCGGCGCCATGAGGTGTGGAAATATATACTGAAGACCGGGGACCAGGCGCTCGCGGCTTGTTCCTGCGCGCGCGTGGTGGTTCGGTGTGACGCTTGGGGAGTGACGAACGGATAAGAGCTAGGGTTTATACGGAGGGAGAGGGAGACAGGAGGAGTGATGGGGGATGATGGGGTTTAAGAGGGACGGGAGGGCGAGGAAGGAGACGAGACGAGGCGAGGCGGGGAGCCCGGAGGCTTCTAGAATCGCGTAGGGCGCACGGGGCTGGCGTGTGGCGTCAGGTGTGGGGCGTTGCGTGCGGCGCTGGGCCGCGGGCGCGGCAGGCGGTATGGTCGTGGTGCGCGCGTGGCTGCGGCGGGGCCGCCGTCGGATGGGCACCTCGACGGCGGGATGGAGTCTGAGAGGTTGATCCGTTGTCTTTCAGGCAACGATGTCGTTAGGGACGGTTGAGCCAACAGTTGGACCCGTCTGTCAGTGGCCACAAAGAATTTAAGGCTGTTAGTTTGTGGGCTGAATACGGCTTCAGCTTGTAGACGTCATAGCGGGCCTGTTCCGTGTGCTATCTGGGCTGCATCACTCGAATTTGGTTCAGTTTGAACGATACTGGACTACGGCTGGGCTCTTCTTATACGCGAATCTCCTCTCCGTGAGCCCAACAGTAGAATTTCCTTAGGATTTTTCATCACCGCGAGAAAAACACGAGAGTATTTGACCTTCCTCGACAATTGCAAAAGTTTGTTTTGCTTCCTCATCAACTACTACAAGGGTGAAAAAGGAAGAAGAGCAGATAATGCCTTCTCCTCCATATCCTAATACATTTATTTTCTTGATTTTGCAGCAAAACGGATATTATACAGGATTCAGATGCAAAAACAAACATTTTAGGTTAGATGTCAGAAATTGTACCGAGTTGGGTTGGTCAGAACAAAAGCGAACTTAAATAGTTGGATAATACATATTTACATGTACTTTTTTTTACGATGACCATAAGAAACTTGCTCTTTTTTAATAGAGACACTAAAAATGCCTCGTATCTAACAATTATCAAGAAAAATAGTAGTCAGTGCATGAAAAACTTGACACAAAGTAATTACAAAAACAAGAGAACATCAAAAGACCAAACTGATTGTCTTCTTTCATTCGAATGTTTGATGCTCGCTAGAGCCGGAAAATCCCATGAAAAGCCATGAAGGGAAAAGGACACCTACATACACCGTGGCCAATGAAGGCTTTGAATACCGCAAAAGGCACTTGTTGTTGTCAGTGAGATCTAGCACCATGAAAGAACATCGGCTGGGGCAACACCATGGAGTGTAGTAGGACTACAATCCTTCCCACTAAAATTATCAAATAGCCGGTACAAGAAAAACTTGACACAAAACAACCTACAACAAATAAAAGAACATAAAGACCAAACTAATCGCTCTTCTTCCTTCAAACGTTTGCTGCCCGTAGAAACCTAGAAATCGTATTGAAACGCTAACAAAGGAAAGGGACACTTACGAAAACCCTAGCCGTAAAAGGCTCCGAATAATGCAAAAGCCACTTGCCGATGGCAACAACATCTAATACCCCTGAAAGAACATCACGGGAGAAACATCGCTCAAGCAGGTTTATAGTCCTTCACCAAAACACAGGGTTGGAGAATTCGGACCTTGTCACATGATAGACCGAAGAAAGAGGTTGAAATCATCACACCGAAAGCCAACCAACCATCTGCCTTGATAAACGCACCAATTGCCAAAGTCCCGAGAGAACCTAGAGATCCGATAGAACAAACCCTCAGTAGCCCTTCGTGAGCACTAGATCAGACATCGTATAAAATTCATATAAATTTTGTTTTAACCGATATAAAATCTAGTTTAGTATTAAAATCATAATTTTTCTATGTTAAAAATAAAATTTTTCTATGAATTCTCTAATATTAAATCAGATTTTAGTATTTTGAAATGCATATTCGTTTTAGAAAAATATTGGGATATTTTAAAAAAATATATGTTTATAATTCTTTTTATAAAGTCTAATTGACCTTCCTAAATTATCGCAAAAGTGAATTTACCTCCTATATTGCTGATGTGGAGCCATGTAAGATGGCTGGCGTAGCGCCAAGCCGCCATGTCATCGAAGACCACTCCGAGAGGCAAATTGAACGATTTTATAAGAGTTAAAAAGTATAAAAATCTGATTTTTCTAATTAATGGAGATAAATTGAAATAACGCAATAATAGCTTAGAGAGAACATATGGACCTTTTCTTTGAAAAAATTATGGACCTTTTCCTTTACTATAATTTGTCAGCACCACTTACGCGCCCAGCAAGACGCTCGCGCCACGCAGGCCCAGAAGGCCTGTATCCCAGCCCAAATAGGTTGACCGGCCTAAGGCATAGGACGACGTTTGCGGCCGGCCTCTAGCGCTGCGCCGTTCCGCTTCCGCCCGCTCGGCACCAGACCAGACACCGCTGCCTCAAACACATGGTCGCGGTCTCGCGGACCCGTGCCGGCACGGGCACGGCCGCACGGGCGCCCGTGCACGCGCGCTAGCTGCCATGCTGAAAGTCGTGTGCGTGCCCGCGCCCGTCAATTCAAATAAAAAACGAAAAACAAAACGAAAAGGCTGCGCGCACCAGCAGGCCCTCGTCGACCCGGCTCCTCGTCCCTGTTCCGACGCGGCGTCAGAGGCCTCGACGCCAGCACGCCGCACAACTGGACTCTCCCCGACGGCCGGACCTTTCCGATTGCCGTGTGTGCGCGTCAGCGTCAGTGCGTGAGCACCGGAGAACGGGCGTGAGCACCGGAGAACAGGCACTGCCATTTTATCACAGTCGCCGCCTTCGCCTGCCGGCTAGGCAGACGTTTCTTCATTTCAGTGGTCGCCGACCGTTCCTTGCGCACATAAAATGCACTCAGAACCCCGTCTGGTGCCGGTCGCCGACCGTACAGAGTATCAAGGCCCGCACAGATCGGTGGCCAGATTGCTCGTCCCGCTGGCGGCGTCTGAGTCTCTCGCGCCACAGGGTCAAAGATCTGGGAGGCCCCAGGGCCGCGCAGAGAGGTGCTGGACTGGAGCAGCCACTAGCCGATTCAAGACAAGCCGGCCAGCTGCCATGTGGGGACACGTTTCGAGCCGACCCCACGTTCAGAGACTCGGGCTAGGTGATCCGGGGCCATGGGACGGTAACCCCTCGCCTGATCTCTCGCGCCCATTTTTTGTAATCCGGCCATGCACGACGCAGTTGGCGCCAGATCTTTGACGGACCGGGGACGCTCTCAGCTGAGGTCGTGCAAACAAACAAGCAAGCACGCAAGCAAGGCAAGCATTAGGCCCTATAATAAAAGATTATTACTGCTTACTAAGGGCAAGCGAATCTTGACTGTTACGTAACGTGGCCTCACCACTTAGGTAACCTCAAACTAAACCTCCCCCGATCAGCTTTATTAATCCCTCTCGATCTCGCTCACCACTAACCTCTCGATCTCGATCAGCAGATGTAAATGAGGCGAGATGACCGTTTTGTTTAGCTCCGTGTCGTGCAAGCAATTAAGCGCAGATTAGCGCAGATTGCTTGTGATCGGATCTGTGAAGGAATCCGAGACCTCAGCTAGTGATCTCCCTGCATGCGACGACGCAACCCCCAATATTTACTGCCCCCCATGACGGCAAGGCATGAACGACACAACACAAGGCTCGTGGATCTGAAGACATCGCACGCTGGACAGTGGACACATACATGCATGGAGGCGGCAGATGTGCGTGCGTGTACATGCACTGCATCGGCACGTCGGCAGCAGACGTACACCTCAATGCGAGGGACGGGCTTGAAGGCCGCGTCGGTCGGGCCGAGTGGCCGGCCGGACCGGAGCGCCGTGCGCGCGCCGGAGCCGGCTGCTCGATCTCACGTTTTGGCACCCTCCATGTGCAGCGCAGGCCAACCAGCGAGCGCGCGCGCGAGGACCACCGTGCTGTGCTGTGTGTCTGCATCGGTGAGCGAGCGCGACAAGCCGCGGATTAAGAAAAATGGAAAGGCACAACGCCACCAAGGACGCATTTGGTATTCTAGAGGGGGCCTGTCAGACGGGGATTTGAATACGCAGCGCCTGGCTTTGACTAGCATTTGCGGCTCTGCCAAAGTGCCAAGTGCAGTTTGTTCAGCTTCAGCAAATCAGCAGCAGCCTGCTGCTTCAGCCAAGCTGATCACTGACACTGTGGGTTCAGTTCTTTCTGTAACTGCAAGCCTGCTGGTGCTGCGGCCTTATAAAACCCTGCACCTGCCACCTAAACCTCTCCTTTTGCTTTGATCCTGGTTCTGAATCCGCAGCAGCTCCTTGCAAGTTGCAAAGCTGCTGTGCTCAACAAGGGTGCGTTTGTGTGTTGAAAGATGAGGTGCGCAGGTGTTTTCCTGGCGCTTCTGCTCTCCCTGTCCGCGCTATCTGCCTCCACTGCCGAAGCACACAAGGTTAGTGGGTGGAATCTTGCAGCTGCTTCAGTACATGGTACTAGATCACTAGATGATACCAGTCAGTATCACCAGCGATAATATTATCTGTTTCTGTGAGAAAATTGCAGGACCGATTGGACGACGCCCCGGTATTGTCAACCGCCGGTCGGAAATGGTTGAGAGGACGCAAGACAATGGCAGATGCCCGGAAGGATGAGGTGGTGGAACAAGGGAAGGGAGCCAAGAGCACAGGTGCAAACACTGCCCATGTCCATGGAGCGGAGAAAACTGTAGAGGTTACCGTTGTCGGGTTGGGTGGTGAGAGTGCTGGGCGCAGGAGCGTCGGCAAGAACAAATCTGCCGGCCTCGTGCCGTTCTGTGCCGATTACCGCACGCCGAGAACTCACCCACCAAGGAATAACTGAAAGTAAAGCAGGCAAATACTTCTTCCTGGTTCTAGCCTCTGATAAACTGATCAACTAATCTCCTACTAGTATTGCTCGTGCATTGCGTAGTGAAGTGTAACTGCTGCCTTTCTGAATATAGGTCACTAGTAGGTATAGATGTATAGCATGGACACTGAGATTTGGATGATGTACTGAAAGTCTGAAACATGTCGATTTCGTTGTTGCAGGAGCAAGTCAGGAAGCAGATGCACCTGCTGAAGCTGTACATGAAACGGTAAATGCACTGCCCACTTCACTCCGGCGTTTCATGCATTTCTGCAGCACACATTTGGTTTACTACCGTCTGCTAGCTGTGTTTGCTTATACTAAGCTGCAATTTGCTTTAGGGTAAAAGGAGTAGGAAGGGCTCGGTAACCCATGCCACGATCCAAGCATCAAAGCATGGCGGTGTCGGCACGGATTATGCATCGGCACCTGAGATCCTCGGCATGGACTACAACTACAACCTGAATCCACGTCGCCACCGCCCGATCAACAACGACGCTCCGCTGGCACTGGGTGAGCTCGCCGCCAAGACACCTTAGGACTTGCGGCTCCTCCGCCTTGGGTAGCTCCGGGGGCATGAAGAAGCTGAATCTTGCATTGCTTCATACTAGATAGGAGTACATCTGACCACAGTAGTCATTAGCAGAAGATGGTGGTTAGCTTAGCTAGGTAGGAACTCGCTCTCCACGCCACACGTAGCCCGTGCTTGACACTCATGGAGAAATCTGAGATCACTGTACTGGGCAATTTTGGTTGTAATGTGCTTGCATGGAGAGCGTCTGTAAACTAGTAGTCAGCAGCGTTTCTGAAGTTGCAGAGAATAGAGACTGGTGGAGAATTCAGGCTGCCTTTTGGGTGACAGGAGCTGTTGTTGGACACTTTTCCGGGCCCAAAGCGACATGTCAACGCTTCGGCCCATCTTAAGAGTAGAGATGCAACAATGCAACATGGCCAGCCCAAGGACTTGCGGACGCTCCCGGCGCACATGCAATACAAATACAAACAAGCGTTAGCTGCAAAGCCAATCAGAGCCCTAATATTTGCTAGACAAAGGAGCACGGGCCTAGGTATCCATAACCTTTTTTTTTTGACAAAACCAAGCGGTAAAGCTTTATTGATCAAGAATTGTTACATCATTTGAAAGAAGGTCAACAATAAAGCTAGGGACATCATCGTCCCAAATACAATAATTTTTGGAAATCATAGCACGCTTCGCCAATTCATGAGTCACTTGGTTTGTTTCCCTTCCGCAATGCTCGATGGAGATCTCCTGGAATCATAACCAGATTGTATTACATTCATCATATATAGCCGATGCTGAATTAATATTTGCTGAGCAAATTGTTATTTAAGTTAAATTAAAAATGGATTATGGCAAAGGAACAATAGCATAGAGATAAAACATCAACTCAAATTAAAAAGAAGCTACAGATTCTTATTATGGGATGGGTTTAATTGGAGTGAAGGGCCATTGTTTAGTACTCCCTCCGTTTCCAAATTATAAGATGTTTTGTGGCTTTTCTAGATACATAGCTTTTACTATGCGCTTAGATATACACTATCTAAATACATAGTATAAGTCAAAAGTCAAAACACCTTATAATTTGAAATGGATGAAGTAAAATTTAAGCTAGGGGACTGTTCCGAGGTCAGGTTTTGAGAAGATGTCCTCCAAAGGCTCAATATCCAAACATGTGTGTAATATTGCTCGGTACAAATATGCTAAGGTGCCAACTACTCTTGATATTGTACCTCTAAATATCCCCAAGAGATGTTCACGCCGTTTTACGTAGGTGATACTAACATGATACGTTTGTTGCACAATATGACTAATGAGGATTGGAGTTGCTTTTGGTAAATGCCCTCCTAGATCAGTTTTTTTACAGATTCATTGGATATATCAATGGGCACAATTACAATCAACAAGGAACGCATCATTCAAGCTTGTCAATTACTCGATACAGTTGCAATGTAATTCTTTCCTTCCTTTGGATGGTCAAATAGTGCTATATTTGAGTTTTGAGTTGATTTTTCCAAAATATTTATGTTTAAATAAGTGGTCTGATTCTTTTTACAAGAGACGAAGCCAGATTTGTTTTCTTCATTAAAGAAAGGTTTGAATCAGATAAACATATGTAAAACTCACAAGGTTTCTTTGATGTTGCTTCCTTCCGGTGCTTAGATGTTTTTGGCTCCCGGAAGGCCGGAAGGAAGCTTCAGAGTCTCCGTGGTTCGTTTTCGTGGTCATGGCGGCCCCTGCCAGTCAGCACCGCGCCACGGCATCACCCCCTGCCGTTGTCATCGTGATCATGTAGTTGGGGTCACTGGCAGAGTGACAGGCACCGTCGTAATCGTAGCAAGGCAATCTGTTAGCTGCGGCCAGCGCCCAGTGGCCGCCGTAGCGAAGCGGACCACGCGACCTTTTTGCACTTTATTAGGGCCCACGTTGGCGCCGGGATAAGGTGCTGCCTGCGTGACGTGGCCAATGACAACGATAGAGGCAGGCGGCGGTGTCGCTCGCAGTCGCGGCGGCAGAGCCACTGGGTGTCCATCGACGAGTGACGGGAGAGACCCCTGCCGTATTTTTTACGATTTGGCTCTTTAAAAAAAATTTGTTTGAGCTTTCTGAAAGACTTAAACTCATTTTTAGAGTATGCGCGCTGAGTGTGCGTTAAAGCCAAAGCCTGCGCTGTCTCCCTCCACTGCTGTTGTGCGCTACTGCTAGCTTACTACTCTACTCCAGCGGGAGTAGCAGAGCGCGTGAGGCGCGGGGGAGGAGGACGGGCACCATCGTGCGGTCAGCCACACAGAATTGGGAGATCAATGAAGATGGCGTGTTTCACCCGGTTTCCAACGTCTTGGAATCGGTGTGACTCGTTTCACCGTGACGAAACTATCGTCCTCTCGCTCCTCTAGATTTGTTTGACGTGTCGTCATTTCAGGAAATAGAGGCCTCGTTTAGATTATAAGTTTTTTTACTCTCTTTCCATCACATCAAATCTTTGAATACATGTATAAAGTACTAAATGTAAATAAAAAAATAACTAATTATACAGTTTGATTGTAAATTACGAGACGAATCTTTTGAGCCTAGTTAGGCCATGATTAGACAATAATTATTAAATACAAACGAAAGTGCTACAGTGCCAAATACTGATTCCTAACTCCAATCTAAACAAGACCAGAGTATACCTATAGCTAGGCTAGTTGCTAGCTGTACTGACCGTGCACAGTAGTATGACGTAGTCAAAGCTTTGTTAGTGAGCGGTGACCATTAGCGGAGCCAAGATGAACACCTCGGGGGGGCTAATCAATAGAGATTTAGAACAAATGTCGAAGATTAACGGTGAAATCATCTGCGTAAATAGTCATAAAAGCTTTGTTAGTGAGCCAATGGCGGTGACTATATATGATTTAAAATTAGAGCAAGTTTTGGAATAAAAAAATATTAGAGCAAGTTTTGATGAATGCAAATTCAGATCTAAACTTTGACTAATATATAAAAATCATTAATATTTATGGTAAATAATAAGTATTATTAGACTAATTATTAAATAGGAATATTGTGTTATTGCTCCTACTTTGATATCCAATTATGATTTTACCCTCCTTTTTGTCGTCGTTGTGATTTTACTCCTGTTTTGTAACTACTAAGGCTCAGTTTACCCTTACTTTCAACTCTGTCAGTTATATCCCTTCACAGTAAGACCAAAGGACGACAATACCCTTGTCCGCTCATACCCTTCCAATCCCCCTCCTCAACCATCCTCTCTCCCTCCGGCCTCCTCCCCAATGGGACGCCCCCCCCCCCCCCCGGCGCCGACATGCCCCCTCTCCAACCCCCTCCTCTCTCCTCCACTCTCCCCATGACGGCTCCCGACGGTGGTGCTGTTGTGATGTCTGCAAGGCTGGGCCCGGCTCCCGACGGTGGCTCCTCCCGGATCAGCGTCGGGCATGCAGGTGGCTCGGCCCTCCCGGCTGCACGGAGCAAGAAGCAGCAGGTGGTGGCGTCATGGATCCGCCCTCCTCCCCTACCTCCATGGCTCCACCTATTTGGAAGGAGCGCTCTCTCCTCTATTAGCGGGCGGCGCAACCCCTCTCCTCACCTCAGATCATTTGGATCCATGGCGGGCGTGCCACCCTGGTACCGATCCGATGGAGGACGGCCGGATCCATTGTGGGCGCGCCCCTGGCGATTGGATCCGGTGGAGGGCGGGCGGATCCATGGCGGCCGCACCCCCAAGTGGAGGGCGGCTAGATCCATGGGCCCCCTCCGTGGTGGATCCATGGTCAAGCGCTTCCGGCAATGCGGATCGTGGAGGTCTCGCCTTCGTCGAGACCAACGCACAACAACCGTCCGATGTTGGGGCCCGCAGGTAGCGCTGTGCAAAGCGGGGCTCGCCACGCGCGACCCGCCGGCCAGTACCTCGCCATGAGGGGCCGAGCATGCACCGTCCTCGTCTCGCGCTCGTGCGCTTCTGCGCTGGCGCGCGACGACGACGTTGTGGGCGGTGAACGCTCTGCCGCCACGGCAGCCGCTAAGGGACCTCTTCGGCAATGGCCCGCCGCGTGGCGACTCACGCAGCGCGCGGGCTCCGTGCCCAACCACACCACGGTGTCTTTGGAGCCTCGGGGGCCCACCACCACCACCTGCACTGAGCAGCAGCACTCGGGATCTCCTTCTAGTTCCTCGTCGTCGGCGGCAACTTCACATGCGGCATCGTGTCTAGCTCCTGTGATTTGGTCCGTAGAAAAATTAGGATCAATATTTAGGAAGAATGAGTTTTCGTCGGTAGAGCGATTTAGCTAACTGTGTATTCGGTAATGTGATTTGTTTGCCAAACAGGGGTAAAATCACAACGTATTCAGATAAGTAGGGCAATTTCGCAGGGGTAAACTTGTCTTTACTGAGCCCGTTTGACACCGTTACCTGCTGTTCACAGAATAAGGATAAACTTAAGCTTCGTTTTCAAAAAATAGGGGTAAAATCACAACGATAACAAAAGCAGGGGTAAAATCATAACTGGACGTCCAAGTAGGAACAAGAACGTAATAGCCCCTTATTAAATATGTAATAAACTTAAAAATTTAACTAACACAAAGCGGACACTTATTTCTGAACAGAGAGCAGCTGATAGATGGAACATATGCATACTGTATCTGATGTTGGTCATAGCTGTTTGTGTTGCGCTGTCCATCACAGCCTATGGGCTAGCGGGTGTGAGACTCTAAAGACTCCTAAAGTTTAGTCGTTGTCTCAATTAAATGTTTGATATATACATAGAGTATTAAATATAGATTAATTATGAAACTAATTACACAGATTACGACTAATTTATGAGACAATTTTTTTAAGTCTAATTAGTTCATGATTTGATAATATGGTGCTACTATAAACATATGCTAATAATAAATTAATCAGGCTTAATAAATTCATCTCGTGGATTATTAATGATTTATATAATTTATTTTATTATTATTCGAACCGATACTTATGTGATAGTCGATGTAATATATCCTAAAACTTTACTTCCTAAATTTAAACATCACCTTAATAGAACAATCATAAATTTAAACATCACCTTAATAGAACAAGATGAAAATAGTTGCGTGGGTAACCCTCTACATGTTTTGCTTTTCTCGTAAAAGTTGAAATGGATGGGCTATGTTGAGGAGCATGACAACTAGTACAGCACCGCCATCTCTGGCCGCAAGAATGAGGGCCCGACCGCCAGGTGCATGCACCTTCACATGCACGCCATCTCCACTGTCTCGCAGCATGCAAATGCCCGCCCAGTCCCGTCCCTTGTGTGTGGGTGTGTGGGCCCCGCGACTGATTGCGGCTCATCGCCTCCGTCGACGGCACGTGCTCCTACTACCGTAGCCCTAGTGTAGGTGCGCAGTGGCGACACGAGAGGCATGAGAAATCTTGGGCGCTGGATTTTCTTCCGTCATCCTGGCCGATTCCCACCTTTCTTTCTTTCTTTCCCAACGCAAAGTGCGCAGTCGAGCAGCACCCAGCAGGGGCAGGCAGTCCGGACAGGGCTCGGCCTCGGCTCGTCCCCGGCTTCGATTTGACAATGCATCGGTCGCTGTACATCCGAGGTCGGCGCCAAGATCTAACTGGTCATCAACGTCACCTAAAATTTTCTGATGTGCACGGTCACATGCTAGACACCAACGCTAAGGTCAAAGACGAGTTTAAGTCTCTAGGTCTCGCCCGTAAATTTTCTTAAGGAAAAAAGGCCAGTAATTACTACCTACGTCAAAAAATAATGCGATTCTAGGACTGGGCGCGAATACCAAGATTGAGGTAAAATTACAATAATGCCCCTATAAAGTTTAGTCCAAATCCAACTCTCTCGCCTCGGTCTAGAAGGTTCCTGTTCCTGGCTGCTTCTTGGTCCTTCTCCCCTCCCCACGCCGCCAACCACCGCCAGGCTCCTCCCCCGCGCTCCGCGCGCCGCCGACACCGCCGCATCCCTGCGTCTCTCCCCGCCCTTGTACGCGCTGCCGGCCTCAAGCGTCGTAGCCGCGGCGCCAGGCTCTCCGCCCTTCACCGCTTCCATTGTCGCAGCTGAGGCGCCGGGCTACGCAGCGGTCAGATCCAGGCGCCACGACGTCGACACATGCAGCGGCCGCATCCAGACGCCGTCCACGCACCTCTCCGCCGCCCTCCTTGCTCCTCCTCGTGCCGTCAGCCTCCACCATTGTAGTCGCGCCGCCGGGCCAAGTGGCAGCCGAATCAAGGCGTCGTCGCCCCGTCGGCCTCCCCGCTTCTCTCTGCGGCCTCCACTTTGGAAGCCAACACCGGATAACCCTCCGCGGGCGCGGGCAGATCGTCCCCGGCAGTCACGTTGGTGGCCACCACTACAGGCCCTGCAACGGAGAGATTGTCGCCGCTGTCGCCTTAAGGCCTGGAGGCTGGAGCGAAGAGTACAGATCCGGTAGAGAGGAAGGAGTGGACGAGAAGGTTGCGGTTTTTTTTTTTTTTATTTACCGAGCGGCACTTCTGGAGTTCTCGTGCATGAGCATAGAAGATGGAAAAAGACTTTTTTTTTTTACAAGTGGGTCCATGTATCCTAACTTTAGCATTCTTTTTGGAAATTTTTGGACCGCAGGATTGCAGTCTTTTGGGGAGTAGGAGACACCTGTGGGCTGTGGCTCCCCTTTGGACTCGGCAGATGATACTGGCATACTGCACGCGGGCGATAGACGTCGTCGTCTTCCTTCCCCCTTCCGCCCCCAGATCGATCAGCGACAAACACAGCTTTATTATCTCGTGTTTTTTCGCTTGGAAAATAACACGCACTATGACGGACTCTGAGACCGACTGCCCACCTAACCTGATTGCGAATAAAAGGGGTTCAAAGGTCACTTATGCTATGGATAACACCATGGTGACGAGACGAGACGAGACGTGCAGCGGCACCATCCGGAGCCCACAGTCCATGCTGCTGGCGATATCAGAAACACGTCGCAGCAGGAAAACTGAGTCACAAGACTGGCCCTTTTCCAAAGTGTATCATGGAAATGAAATTTATAGCACCAAGTGGTCAAACACCATGCGTGTTCGGATGCGCCCCACGCTGAAGTAATCAATCAATCATGAAGTACGGGCAGCACATGGGTACTAGATCTGGGGGCATTCTTTGATGCTTTCTGAACCCAAAGTTCTAGATCGTTCATTGCAGCTACTGTATCATTCTTTTTTCCAGCGTCCAGCACGCAGGCTCCACAGAATCGAAACATAAACATATTACTGATACAGACAGCAGATGATATTTATGCATATACTCCTATATCTATAGCAATATCATATCATAGTTCATATTATGGTAAGCGTCTGCAAAATGGTACAGCGGCAACGACGGCCGAGATCGAGCCCGAGCCCGGTGCTGCGAGGCAGTAGGAGTACTTACTATATACATACAAAGAAGAAAAGAACAACGCATCTGATATGTCAAACACTATGCACAAACACACCACTCTTCTCCTGCAGGCTCATCTCATATGCCTGCCATGGACGATCTTATTCTCGGACCACCTCTACCGGCTCCATACACCTACGAGCATATTATATAATAATATACCTGCTGGCTGCTGCAACTGCTGCACACCACACCAGAGCTCGAACAGAAGTACCTCCATTACCTTGGCGACTTCTCTTCTACTACTTTCAAAACTCGCAAGACGTGCCCAGCCTCGGCATCGGGCGCTGCCCGACACCAGCAGTGTGCTTCCGGGTGCGGAAGGCACCTGGGAGCAGCTCCTGGAACTTGTCGAGGAATGCACTCCACTCTTTAGGGCTCATGTCCGACAGCTTCACAAAACTGGCGCTGGGCGGGAGCAGCTCATTGGCGCTCCTGCTCCCGGACTGATGCTCACTAGCTTTGCCACTGTAGTTAGTTCTACCTGTCACTTTACCCTTCGGAACTCCTCTACGGTAGGGTTTAGATTTCCCAATGAAGCCAAGCCCCTTCATGGACGACGACAGCTTGGAGATAGAAGGAATCTTCTGGGGCAATGCACTGATCAAGATGTCATCATCGGCGTCCTCCTCAGTCTCATCTTCGTCCTCCTCATCACACTCATCTAGCTTGGATAGTGGATTCCTGGAACTTGCCTTCATGCTGCCAAACTTGCAGAAAGCTGGTGGTTCAAAGGCATCTGCATCATCCTCACTGTCAAGAAGGAACTGGGTGAAGTCATCATCGTCATCTTCAACTCCGGCTTCGTCAGGAAGAAAGAACTCTCTTTCCTTGACCCACTTCCTTGCCTCCATGCAGAGAAGTTCAAGCTGACTTGGTTCCTCTTCTTTTGCAGTGAACTGCCTGCTCATCATGTCTCCTATCTCGGAGAGGCAGAGACCAAACGCTGCAGCTTCCTTGAGAAATACTGTTGACAGCACCAGCACCCTGAGACATGCCTCTCGTATCATGGGTAGCTCCGTGCGTAGCATTTCTGCATCTTTTACAGGATCAAGTTCTGCAATGTATTCAAGCTCCTCCTCGGAGAAGGGAACAGAGGCCTGCGGCCAGTGGATCCACTCAAAGTAAGGGTCTTCTAGGCATTCTGGAAGGCAAAGGCCATGGTCAATAGGAATGAGTTCCGTCTGCTCTCCAAAATTGTCAGCCCCAGGACCAAGCTTCCTGACCAGAAGATTTCCAGCATGCCTGTCAGTGTTGAAGATTCTAATGTCAAGAATGCCAATCCGATGCACTGCAGATACAGGGAAGCTTGAGGTCCCATGGTCACTGGCATCAAAATCATGAGGAATGAACTCCTGCAGTGATGCAATCTTGCTCACAGCCTCTGATTTGTTGCAGAATACTTTACTTTTGCAGCCAACACAGTCATTCACATTGAAGATGGTGTGTGTTATCTTGACAAGCATGGTGGGAGGAACATTTGCAAAGTGACCATAGTCGAGGAGGTAAGCAGCAACCTCTCTGAAGCCTGTCTCACCGACCCGCACAGATCTTTTCAGGCCTGGCTGTCCCAGAGCCTTCCCCACAAAACCTTTTGGATTGTTTGGGGCAAATGGTTCCTCGTCAGTTGGCTTGACAATTGCAACACACTCTCCCCAAATGTTCTTGAAGTAGTAGGCACCACCCATCCCACTGTTAACAGCAACTGGGTCAACACCATTCCTTATGGCTTTAATGACATCCTTAGCAAGCTGCTTCATCCGAGAGGATGGGCTTGCACAGCCAAGGATTTCAATGGGCCCGCTCCGGTCTCTTTGCCAAACATCCTTGCCAGTAGGGGAGAGGCAAGGTGTGGAATTGCTTCGGTGAATCTGATTCCTTTTGAGAAGCAACGGTGAGTCATTGCGAATGCTGCTAAGATCATCATTCAGAACCAGGTCACCAAAGGTCAATGAGCTCTCATCAGTGGGCATATTGAGGGCTATCTGCAGCTTCTTTTTCACAGTTTGCACATTTTCTCCTCTCTCCAGCTCGATGCCAAGGACAGACCCATTGTCAGTTTGGACAAAGACTCTCTTCCAGCTCAGCTGCCTGCCCTCAGTTCTGCTACCTCCAGGATATTCACTGCTAAAGCTCCGATCCAGGACTGCCACAGCCATCTGTGTCTGAACAGGACAGTCCAAATCCCTGGACATCGAAGAGCTAAAAGGAGCTGGCAAGACAAACTTTTGCAACTTGCAGTCAGCAGTCTTTGGAGAAGAGAAGAAGTTTTCACCACCTCTGCATCAACTGAAGCTCGATATCACAGGACCACTGATTGATATATATATCCTGGGAGGAGAAAAAGAGAAATGAATACTATATAGTACAAAACAAGCTTCCATGCAATGATAAATGTAAGATTCTAGACAAAGCTAGGAGATACAAAAAATGTGGAGTGGTTATAGATGTCTGATACAAATGGATTAGCTAGCATGTAACACGCTGACAGAATCTATCAAGTTACTTCCATAAACGATATTCTTTGGATCATTTCTTTGCTCATTCCAATGCAAGGACTAAGTTACAGTACTTTGCCAGAGTGAGGTAGCATAGTTTCACAAGTTTATGCCCGATAAACCTATTCACAACTGTTGACCAGAATAAGTAGTAGATTATATTGAGTGTTGCAAGTTTCTGACTGCATTTCAAAACAACTGGTGACAAGAACAAATTGAGGATAAGAACATTATAACTATAAATGTCAGTAAGCAGTAAGCTTAGATCTCAATCTCAGGCAGAGAGTATAATCAATTGAGTGGAATTTATAACATCACACATGTAAGCATACCCTTGTCTTATTCCTCACTAAAATCTAACGAAATAACAATTAGCTTCTCTTAAGGAAAAATAACGACTTGAAAACGGAAACTGAGATCATTTCCGCCTGTTTTGGTACAAGGTGACCAAATCTCATGAGAATCACATAGGTTTGTAGTATAATCCAGTGATTGAGAGAAAATAGCTACTAATAATAGCATCAGTCCATACAGGGATAGGCAGATTTTGCATGCAACCAGAAAAGAAGTAGGATTTATTAATGGTGACAAACTAAATAAGGACTCCAAAGTTCAATTGATTTAAGTCAACATAATGCAAAGAACAAATCGATTCCCCGACGCAGATATTAAAAAAATCTCTTTAAGAGAAAATCCCCTTCGCTGACCGGATGAAATTGTTCAAACAGCTCACACGGTTTCACACCAGTGAGAAACACTCAGTGCGAAGGAGGGACCTAAGAACACAGACTCAAATGCATTTTTTTACTGGAGTCTACGAATTCCTGACGACTGAACCCGATAAATCCACGAGTAAACATCATTAAAACACGAGCTATGCAATAGATCCTACCCGTTTGATAAGAAATTATACGAGACCCGAATCCCACATATTTCCAATTGAATAGCAACACCAAAAATCAGAAGAGCCAAAACAGGCAGCATGAATGAACATGTTGAAACCCGTTACCATTCAACAACGAAAATTTTGAGACGGCGCCGGCGGGTCTGGAATCACGCCCCGAATCAACAGGGAAAGCAAGCGACACAAAATCAGTGGCAATCCGAGGCGCTCATTTCCATCAAACGCCTCCGCAAAATCCGGAAATTTAGCGAGCCCCGACTAGCACCGCCCGCTCCCCGCTGTGGCCCCCGTCGAATGAATGGCATTCATCACAAGGCCGAGGAGCTGGCGTGGGGACTGACTCACCGGCGGGACGGATCTGGGCGCTCGCGGGCAAGGAACGGCCACAGCGCCGCCTCCCTCCTCCTGCGGCGGCGTAGATCCGACGTCCGGGCGCGTCGCCGGCGCAGATCCGGCGGCCGGGCGGTGCGCCGTACGCGTCCCACGGTGGCGCGACCCGGTTCCTGTGCCTTTTGTTCCCACTGTGCGTGTGTGTGATTTGTCCTTTTCCCTCCGGGCTAAACTCGTCCTGGGTCCGAGCGACGGGTTAATCTGATAACCGCGGTTAACGAGACTCCTCCCCGCCATCTTATAGCCTCACAGTTTTGCGCTCGAGACCTTGCAAATTCTTGTATTTTCTGGAACGGTGCTCTTGTCTTCCAGGAGTCACGACAAGGAAAATTTGCCACTTGTACATTCACCCTGTTGGCTCGTTGTTTCAACCAGTCTTATTCAACCAGTTAACAGTATTTTGCTCTCACAATAAATCAATACCAGCCAGCCTAAATCAGCTCAGAAATCAACCAACGAACACGCCGATTGTGGCACGTCGCCCGCTGTGTTTTTTTTTTACAAACATCACCATTTATTATTAGCAGCAAGCACACGACAAGATTGAGGAGATTAAGCTCCGTTCAAGGTTTCTGTGGGGCGTGAGCATGATGTTTCGAGAAAGTACAGCTCGGAATGTGTTTCTCATTGCTTGTTTTGCAAGATAATGGTAAAAAGACACGAGTTTGATTTTGGAAATCACATAATGTAATTTATTTAAGGATGTATAGGTATCATTATCTGTTTAGTTTTTTCCACCCTGTTTATACTATGCTATTATGTTTTGGCGTTGTCATATTTCAATTCTTTTGATTTTTCACATCGCTTGGGGAAGTAATTTGAGTTAGCATCACATTACTATAATCTAAAAGTGCTCATGTCGCATTAAACAGTTACTAACAAATGCCTGGACACCTCATCTAACACTTGGTGATTTATTTTCCTAGAGGAGACACAACTACGTTATGAAAGGTAACAATTATGTTATGAGAGCTACGAGTATCTAGTCCTCGAAGTCATATTTAATGCATGACATGCTATCATACTTTTATATTAGGAGCCGAAGTAGTTGGTAACAGCTTGGTTTATGTTGAAAAAAATAAACAAAAGCTGCTAACAGGCCGTTCGCTGGTCTGATTTGTTCAGACCAGCCGGCTGGTTGTCTCATAGATCACTATGCATTTTCCAACCACTTCTAGCCGCTACAGTGTTTCTCCCTCACAACAACCAGACAGTTTCAACCAAGTTTCAGACCAGCGAACGGGGCCTAAATTGCTAATGATGTATGGCACATGGCAGATATGACTGGAATTAGGAGAGCAGCCAGCTTCGTCTCGCTTTTGGTTAATGCAATTCCAAGCAGTCCTATGAAGATTGGTCGCCACTTGTCTAGCTATCATAAATATCATAATTATCATTAATTTATTTATGCAGGGGTCATCATACGAAGAAAGCAACACCAGGCCCCTCGCCGTAAAAACGAAACTATTGCGGTGCTTTCGCGCAAAGCAGGCCCAGATACTTTGGCCGAGCGCGGATAGATAGGCAAACGCTCGTCCTCTTCCAGGACTTAAGCCGTAGTTTTTCGTTAATAAATATTATTTTTTATCATAAATTAATTAATAATATTTTCAGTTAATATCTTATCAGCAAACCGGACAAATTTCTTAGACCAAAAGAAAATGAAGTACGGACGGTGGCAATTAATTAATCGACGAGCCCATCACGCCGTCTGTTTGCTTTGGGATCGGAAGGCTCTAGAATCCCCAGTACGACGGCCTCCACATGGCGCCGTGCCACAGGACGGTGATCGCACCGCGGCGGGGCCCGCGCGGCAGCGGCAGCGTCCGCTCATTCGCGGTGCGCGAGAGCCCCCCCGGCGCTGCCGGCACGGAGGCGGCAGCGCAGGGTGCGGTCCAGTCACCAGTGGTGGCGCGCGATCGTAGATACGGGCCGGAGGCATGTTCGTTTGATCGTAAACGATCGTAAATTTTCAGTTAGAAATAATATTTTTCTTTTATATTAAATTAGCTAGCAGTAAATAATCCACGATACGATACGAACTTTTGAACAGGCTTCTTGGCCGTGGCTGGCAGCTGGCAACCCTCTCGGACGGTCGGACCGGCTCGGCTCTCGCGGGCGGGACCCAGATGACTTGGCTCCTCCATGTGACCATATCTGCCCGGCCGTGACCGTGAGTCCTGAGGCTTTTCACCTGTGTTCATGACTGAAATTGACCAGCAAGTCTAAAGTGGCGCTGAAACATAAATATTTGGCGTGAATTCGGTCCAAACTCCAAACAGTGTTTGTGGTTTGGGGACGTTTGGCACCTGCTGAGTCAGCGGCAGCCTAATTGGTCAATTATTCTGAGCACGACATCTACTACCTGATTGGCGATCCTTCGTCAAAACTCAAAAAACAGTGACGCATAATAATTGACCATGCTGCCTCGCTGCTGTCTTGATCGGCTGTTCTCAGGCTCTCAGCTGTCGATTTTCTGCTTGGTGCATGCGTACGTATAGAGTATAGACCGGCCAGGGTACTTTGTTCAAACTCGAGCGTTGACACCAGAGAGCTCCGGCGGTGTGGCTAACACGACTGGAAGTCTGGAAGACTTCTTCTGTTCTTCACAAGAATTGGCATTATAAAAGCGATCATATTTTGGTTCAATATTATACTAATTGGACAACGTATAAATAAAGAGAATAAAATCAAGATGTAGCTACGTACTCCGTGGAGTAGTGTATATAGAAGAAGTGAATTAGTTAAAGCATTTTTTTTTCTGTTCGTAGAGCAAGGAATGTGCAGGTCTGTCCGTGAAAGATGAGACAAAGGTTTTTTTTCGATTATTAGAGCAAGGAATGTGCAGGTCTGTCCTGAAAGAGAATCAGTACCTGCTCGATTATTAGGATGCGTTTAGTTGCTGCGGAACTAGGCCCTATTTGTTTCCGCTTATAAGCTTTTGTTTTTATTTGATAATAATCGGTGGTTTAAAAATAAGCGAGGATCTAAACGCTTTAATTGTTTTTGATTTCGTCAACATTTAGTACTCCATACATGTACCGTAAGTTTGATGTGATGGAAAATCTTCTTTTTACATAGTGCCAAATTCTGGAATTTGGATGAACTAAACGTGGCCTTGGGCTTAGGGCTAAGAGAATCAGTTGGCAGTAAAGGACGCAGTGCTACCTAGCCAGACGCTATAACAAAGGTCTCATTGCCCCCACTCCCCGGCCACGTACTAAAGCGACATCTTTGACTTTGAACCAGATGATAAGGTTAAAGTTTTTCGATTCGTGACAAATGAAGTACGTGCACCTGACTTCTTCTTCTTCTTTTTTGAAAAATATAACATATGTAAGATTTTAAGAGCATCTTCAAGAGTTCC